AGGTCGATGAACAAAGGTATAAAGGTATGAGAGCAAAGGTCATTAAGACAAGTAAATAACATTAATAGCTGCTGAGTGAATGTTTTTCCATCGGTTAGAATCGTAAGTACTGCTTAGAAAATAAATACGCAGCCTATTGTTACAGTTATTTCCAATCTTTAACAATACAATTCAAAATTTGAGGCGCAGTAATGATTAAAGTCTTCGTTCGTTTTCATTGACTTTAGCTGATATTTAAGTAATATATTTACTGCCAACGATTTTTTATTTAGACTTACTCGTGATACAACACAGACTGCCAGATTATGTGATTCCTCCTCAAAATAATTCGCTGAATTACTATTATTATTTTTTTCGTTATATTTATAATAGTGCTGACGGAGAATCAAATTTCTATGACTCCCTGTGAGTGACTGACACAAAGGAAAATAAATTAATTTATCTAATGCCTTTTATAACAAAGCAGTTCTTTTTTTGACATATAAACGCGAAACATGTTTAGACAGGAGGGAATTAGATCGTGATTAATTTCCTTCGTTAAAGATATTTTGTTAACTTGATAAAAATATAATTTTTTCCTTAATGTGTTAACCTTAATTTTAGTGTTTTTTATTCTATGTGCTCATTATATATTATTTTAATATTTGGTATGCACTGAAAAATATTCTTTCCGAATACCTATTTAGGTTTATGTTGTCTTCTTATTTTATTTTTGCAGTTGTTTTGTGTTATAGAACGATGAAATTTTTCGTTACCACGGAACTAAATAAATTAGTAATCATTAACTCAAATTGCATCAGTCTGGAATTATTATAACGGAGTTTGTACTTTAGTGTCATGAATCCAAACAAATTTAATATCTAATGAGGAATTATAAAATGAAATAAATCATTAGTTGTAAAAAACGTAATATTTTGCTCTTGGATGAAATAAGTATAAAGTTAATAGGGATACAATATTATATTATATTACATGTAATTTTTGTGTTCAATTGATTTACCGCTTTTTTATGACTGCATCGTTTATTACCATCAGGCGAGATGGTAGTTACGCTACGCTATGGTAGTTACTAGTCTTGAAAATGAAAGATGAAATGGAATAAAGTGTTAATTTCGTTTTTGCAACGATACACCTATAGAATAAGGAAGTTTACGAAACTATCTACGATTGTTTAATAACTACAAATTATAAATAAAATTAAAATAAATAATGACTCGGACTTTTCGATATAACACAAACCGAAGTGTTTCGATTAAAACCATGGCCATAAAACTCATCGTAGAATGCGTAAATATGCAAAATAGTTTAAAAACTAAATAAAACAAAGAGTAAATGAAAAAGATACAGACGAGGAAAAAAATAATTTCAAATGATGCTTTTTTTATTCTAAGTAGGCCGAGCGGTAAAGCCTGCGCAAACTTCTCTATGACCAGATTTATGAGTTACCAAAGGCTCTGACGTAACCGCGATTGCATATAGTTCCGCTGAAAATTAAATTTTAAAAACACGGCTCTCCTTTCTTATTGAAATAATAATATTCACCTACAACAAATAAAATACACCATTTTATTGATGGTCGCTAAGCCGCAGCAATAAAATTTAAAAACGACATGTCTTGGCTAAAAAAGTCTTAAATATAACTTGCGTAGAATAGCAAGAAGATACATGTTTTTACACCACAAAGTGATCTATTTATTTTATAAATAACACAAAGTTAAATCATATTAATAACTTTAACCCTTATTTTCTACAAATACTTAAATTATTATGGAGCATACATTTTAAATATGAAAAATAAAATCTATGAATTTAATAGAATAATTTTTATATGTGACAAATAAACAAGATAGTTACTGTTAAACTTATGTATTATTGAAAGTCATATTTAATATAGTGCATATTTTAATTTCTTAAAAGAACTTTATGAAATATAACTATGAATTAAAAACTTACCTATCAGAAAACAGGTTTTAAAGCGATTGTAACATAGTGACAGAAAACGTAACACTTAAATAAATAACAAGAGAATTCCGCAACAGTTCTCATCCATTTTTAAAGCAAAAACTTTTCCGATACTCATTCACGGGATAAATTCTCTCGGCGTGGAAAATTGTGTAGACACGTAGAGCACTGGGCTACGGGCGAAAACGTCGGCTTTCGCCCGATAACTGGCTACGGAGCGTAGCGCTAGTACTCCTCTACGGCGCTACCATCTACGACGCAACAGGCTGCGTTGTTCGTATAGCGCCATCGACAGGGCTTGTATTAGAAACGGCAACATTAAGGGTCGCACACAAGTGTAGTTAAAAAATCTGCTCAAATGAAAGACAATTATCTCGAGAAATGTAATTATCCAGGCTGTATCTCATGAACCGTGATAGTTAGGCAATTAAATTGTCACAGTTGATGTATTTCTGTTGCCGCTATAATAACAAATGGTAAAAAACGGAATAAAAAATATTTAAGTGGGACACACACCTAACATTTTTTTGCCATTTTTATAGATAACTAGTGACCTGCCTCGACTTCTCACGGGTGCAATGTATTATACATATAAACCTTACTTTTGAATCACTCTATCTAGTACAAAAAACCGCATCAAGATCCATTAGTCAGTTTTAAGAACTAAGCATACATAGGGATAGACAGACAGCGGGACGACTTATTTTTTTACTATGTTGTCATAGTACGGAGCCCTCCCTGCGCGAGTCCGACTCGCACTTGGCCGGTTTTTTAATTGTTCTTAAGATAGGTTCACTTATAACAAACGTCTATTACTAATACTTCGTAATATGAGTATCAAGAGGTATTCGACAAATGTTTACAGGCGATAAATGTTTTTATATTTCAGCGTGCGCCCAAACTTAAAATTAATCTTTATTAATGAAATTTCGAAGCTTTCGCTTTTATTTTTACCGAACCTCGTTTGATCACTTAACCGTAACGATTTAATTACTGCCAGTTAGTGGCCCGAACTTGATGTGTAATGTGCAAACGCCCAAGCAACGGATATCCGCCAGACTTTGGTCTTGACAATCGATTTGAAATTATTTATTTTAAATTTCCATAATGTTTTTTTATTCTTCCATATTTTTCTTCTTCTTTGGATGTGTACAGACCTATTGCGTTATTTCCTAATTTTGCTAAAATATTTGAAAAAGTTATTTTAAAAAGGTTTATGTCATTTTTAAATGCAAATAATGTATTATCGAAAAATCAGTTAAGTTTTAAAAAATCGAAAAACACAACTTCGGCAATATTTAAAATATTACAGCAAATATGGAAAGATATTGAGAAGAAAAAAAACATCTATTGGACTATTTTTAGACCTGTCAAAAGCATTCGACTGTGTCGTACACAACATTTTATTTAAGCAACTAGAACATATTGGAATCCGTGGAAATGCGTTAAAACTAATTGAATCCTATCTTACAAACAGACTTCAAACTACAGTCTTAGACACATATGGTAAAGCGTCAAAAATGATTGTAAAAGTGCAATCAAGCTACGATAAAATAAAACTGTATTCCTGTAGTCCGGTATTCCTCAAGGTAGTGTATTGGGACCATTATTGTTCTTGATATATATTAATGAATTTCCTTTAATTATTAACCATCTATGTGTAATGTTTGCTGACGATGCTACGATATTTATATCCAAAGACAATCTGAATGACTCTAAATTTATTAATGAAATTTATAGCACTCTTAAAACTGTAGTTGACTGGTTGACATGTATTAATTTCAAAGTTAACTTAAGTAAGACAAAAATTATACAATATACGTTAGTAAATTGTATAATTTTTGTAATTTTTTATTTAATATTTATAGTTATATAAACAACTACCGCAAGACGTGAACATTATTATTGACATTAACAGCATTGAGCAAGTTCATCAAATAAATTTTTTAGGTGTTAACATTGATAGTCTCACGTTAAAAAATTAATAAAATAATTACTAGTAGATATTATGCTATCTCTGTTATGAGGAATGTAAGCTCTGTAGATGTCGCTAAAATACTTATTATGAATATGTTTACCCACTATTGACATACGGTAATATATTTTGGGGAATCTCAGTAAATGTAAATTCCACATTCTTGCTACAAAAGAAATGTATAAGGGGCAATATACAATGTAAATGGTAAGGACTCTGTAAGGCCTATAGTTATCAATAATAAGATCTTAACCCTGACATGTATTTACATACTATAAATCTGTTTATTTATCAAAAATAATTCCGAATACTATATTAAGAAAAGAGACACAAAATTAAATCTTCGAACGTAATATAAATAGGTCATATGTACTGTGCCTTGCTCGAGTTATATATATCAAAAAAGCTCTTAAATTACTGGTATTAATATTTATAATTATTTAACCGAATCAATAAGATCACTTCATGGTGTACAGTTTAAAACTAAAATAAATGGCTGATATGTAATTGTTTTTATAATTTAAATAAATATTATTGTAGAACCGAATAATACTTTAATTATATTATTTACACTTCTCTTATTGTACGCCCGAAATGGGCAAACTGTTGATGGATGGTGGATGATTTTTTGAGCTTCCTCAAGCTGGTTAGGTAATAAACTGAAGTACACTCTAGGGATATAGCTTGAAGCAAAAATCGACCGGGAAGCAAGTGTCTCGAGTGGCAGCTTAGACCGTAGGTTAGTACGTTAAAAAATACCATTGTGTAGTAAGTTTTTTACTTTAAAAATCTAAATTTTATTTCGTTATTTCAGGGGCGTTCAAATAGAGCCGTTTTAAAACGTTCATCGCCGCTACCATTTTATTTAAAAGTACTAGCCGTCCTTTTATATGCGGACAACTATGTGATTGGATATGCATAACCGACTTTTTTTCCGAGGCCGTAATTTTGGCTTAATATAATAAAACGGAAGAGTTAGTTTGATTGTTTGTCAAAAATCATGCAAAAAAATGATTTTTTTAAGCTGGTTAGGTAAGTATCTGTTAAGATAGGTTACCACATAATGCGTGACGACTGGAATGATGCGTTCGGCGACTGCGATACGTCGGCGGCGATTGATAAGGGTGACTCATGTGTTGCTCCAGTTTGCAATGAAGATATGCCTATCGGTCATTTGTCGAGCCCGATTTGTGAGGTCCCTAAAAGTCCAAGTAATGCACTGCCTAGTAAAGATGATGTTCAAGCTTCAAAAGAGGTATGTCCTAGTGACATAATTAGAAATGATGCGTTTATACCCATGGATCCTGCCACTCCAATACCCTCAACAGACTGTCCGAAATCAGTAACTTCTTATTTACAACTCAATGTCAACCCCTTTTTACCATTGACTCCAATTTTCAATGACTTTAACTATCAGCCGTCACCACTAACAGAAAATTCCATATACAATTTAGCCGTATCTAGCACTCCAGTCCCATCCCCGGTGAACAGACATGGGAAATGTGATGTCTGTCCATCCGTAAGTAGCGTTTGCCGGATTCTAATCAACCATCTCCTGCCGCAACTTTGGTCAGAAATAGGGGACGAAAACGGCCTCGGAATCATGAAGAATGGGGAGATGTGAAGAGACTGAAGAATTTAGGTAAGAAATATTGTTCAAAAAGAGGTACTACGATTGAAGCAAAGGAAATGGGGCCACCATGTCGATGCAGGTTTAATTGTACCTCAAAAATAAACATAGATGATCGGAGACAGATTTTTGAAAAGTTTTGGTCTTTAGGCAATAGAGAGAAACAGTGGCTTAATATTGCAAACTACACTAAAAAAGAGGACAAAAAAGAACGCTAAAGAGAGAGTTAAAACACAATAGACTATACACGTACAAATACTTTCTACCAAAAACCAATACTCAAACTAAAACACACGAAAAAATTGGTGTTTGCAAAACCATGTTTTTAAACACCTTAAAGATTACTGAGCGTATGACGCGAACAGCTTGGGAAAAGTATGATGGCAGTACTACTGTCGAAAAAAACATGAGAGGACGTCATAGCAATCACAAAAAAGTTCTCAACACTGAAATGGTTTTATCTGTATGTGCTCACATAAATGCTTTTGTACCAGTTGAGTCTCATTATTGTAGGAAAAATTAAAAAGGCTATACTTAGATAGTAGCTTAAGTATCGCTCGAATGTTTGAATTGTACAAAACTTCGCCCGATTTGGATAATTACACTGCGACAATACCGAGACATTGTTAACAGCTATTTTAATCTATCTTTTCATAACCCCAAGAAGGACACTTGTGACCAGTGTCATATTTTTAAACACACTGATGCTCCGTCTAAGGAAATGAAACTAGCTTATGAAGAGCACCAAAACAACAAAAATATTGCACGGAACCTAAAACAAAATAATAAAACCGAGGCAATCGAATCGAATGGTACCATCTTGTGTGTGCAACATTTGATTTTCAAAAGGTTTTAAACTGTCCGCACGCTCAAATAAGCGTTCTGTATTACAAACGCAAACTCTCGTGTTACAATTTCACTATTTTTGATTTTGCGTCTAAAGGTGGCTATTGCTACGTGTGGGATGAGAGTATCGCAAAGCGGGGATCCAATGAGGTAGCTAGTTGCTTATTCAATTTTATCAAAGAATTTTCCTTGAAAGGAATTAAGGAGTTTAGATTTTGGTCTGACAACTGCGTTGGCCAAAATAAAAATCGAGCCGTTTTTGCAATGTATAGTCATGCAGCTAAGGAGTTTGGAGTCACCATAATTCATCGTTTTCTCGAAAAAGGGCACACTCAAAATGAAGGTGACTCTGTTTACTCTGTGATTGAAGGAGCTGGGGAACACAAAGTAATTTACACACCTGAAGAGTGGAAGCTGGTTATCAAATGGGCAAAATCTGAAAATGCTTATGAAGTGATTGATGTAACGACAGAGTTGGTATATGATTTTAAAGAATTATTGAAAAATAAAAATTGGGCAAAGAGTTCTAACAATGAAAAAATAACATGGACAAAAATTATAGAGGTGATGATAGCAGCGAGCCATCCATATAAGTTATTATATAAATATGATTTGACCAAAGATTGCAGTAATACATTAGTTATTCGCAAGGATACTAGAAGTCACGTAGCCACTGCTCTTAAAAATACTTATAATGGCCCTGTGGCTATACCAAAAGACAAATTTAAAGATCTCAAAAACTTGTGTGAAACGGGGATAATTCCTGCAAAGTATCATGCATATTTTAATTCATTACCTAATGATGTTGCTATCTCTAATGGTACTGATAATGACTGATTCAAACTGATAACTTGTAATAATAATTATGTGCAATATGAAGAAAAGTTCCTATTGTAGTATGTAAGTTAACGTTGCAATAATTTAATATTTTTATTATTGAACAACTTGCCAGCAACTTATTTGGGATGATGATTTTTATTTTTTTTAGGACTGTTTTTAAATCCTTAGATAACGCTAACAGACAGATACAATTTTGTGGCGCTTGCACACTTTTAACTGTTTAATTAGCGCCATATGAGGATTGAAACAGGCCAAAATGTAGGTAACTGTTTATTTGCTAATCCAGTTGATTTTTTAATTGTTTATTTGAGGCTCATATTTAAAATTTAGAGGATTTTTTGGTTTTGGTATTCAGTATACTTTATTTGATTTGTTTTTATGAATAAAACTATTTGACAATTGTATATTAATCTTTTTATTTTAATCAATAAGTCAAATCCGTCTCTAGATTTTTGTCATTTTTCCCCAAAAAAATGACGTAAGTGAACATACGTCAAGTTATTGTCCCTACAATAACGACGTTTGTGATAATTCGTCACATACATGCCCATAGTAAAGTGACGTATCTGACTTTTCTTAAAAACTAGCCATATTAAGGATATATTTTGTATATCATAATTAACAACTTTACATATTTACTAACATATCCAAATTTCAAGTTGATTGAGTTAGCTGTTCGGAAAATATGAACAAAAACATATATCAGAACCTTTAATGAGGTCTCCTGTAAAGTAGCTGTTTTGTACATCCGTCATTGTTCTACGACTGCGACGAGATGTTAGCTTAAGTATTTTACTCCTCCTGGGTAACTATTCCCTTCCACAACTTATTTTAGTAAGGAAATTATTAATTTTAGTTTGATTCACACAGCGAATGCTAACTGTAACCTTGAACTCTTTTAATGGTTGTGTAGTGGGTCTGGATTTAATGTTACTGATATTTTCTGAATGAAATGAAAATGATGAATAACCGTAATAATCTGTAATCCATGCGTAACTACCTGTTTGTGAAATAATAGTGTGCAAACGATTATTATTTTTGATATTAAATGAGTCATTATTTTATTAAAATATTTGTTACCTGTCGAAGCTGCACAGTTGACATTGAAACTCATAATTTTTTAATTTTTAGTTTAAAATTATAGTAACTGCATAAGATTTACATCAAACTCTGTGTTCTGGATATACACACCTTTTAACTGTGCAAATACCATGTTTGCGTTGAATTGAAAATAGCCATATGCATAAATGAATTCTATTTTGTTAAAAATATTTAGTTATTTACTTAGTTTTTAACAAACTTACATTGGAGATGTAATACTTCTTTAGTTGAAACCAAAATCTTTAAAAAAAAATTCATCATCCTCGTATATATATCCATACGAGATAAAAACGAGTAAACTGAGAAGAATATTACTAGTACATTATTTTAATAATTTTGTTCTCTGCTTTGGCTCTAAACATTATTGATAAATAGATTTTAAAGTACCTACATAAAAATCAATGTTTTTTTAAAACTAGTTGTTTAACGATGAACTACATTTAGAAGAGAGTTTTGATACTAAGTTATAAACGGTAGATTTTATTAGTATAATATTTTTTAAATATCTATAAAAATTTGTTACTTTTAAATCTGTGGTTTTATTCCTACAAAGGTCACTCTTGTATTTGGTCCCAAGAGGGGTGGCATCTTCGCCACTTGTCATGTCTCGGATTAAATTACTTTTGTTTTAAGCATTTCTTGTCTTGATGCGTACAATAAATAACCCAGTCATTATTTTATTAATTATCTTGAAACATGAATCAGTGCATTTCGAAATCATAAAATCCCAACCAACAATGAAGGAACTACACTTATTTAGGGAGAAAATTGAAATTGGTTCGTAACTGAAAATTTGAGGAAATACTCCGTAGAGGAGCACTCAAGTCGCACGAGTGTCGTACTCACGCTTTCATACGACCCTCGAGATCGTATTTGGTACAACGAATATGAATTGGATTCCTTATTTACAGATGCATTTTAAATTCAGAGACATTCGCATTTTGAACTTTCTATATTCATGTTTAACATCACATGTTGTACAGATAAGACTATTCTTTGTGATAGAAGCATTTTATTTTTGTTATTTCTATAAAGATATGGACCTTCATTCGCATATATTTATTACCTCTTCATCGTTCATATAATTATGATATATATTTCATTACCTCTTATATCGGTCAAATAAAAAGAGCAATGAAAATCCATGTTAAAGAACATACAGCTGAAATTAAACATAACAAATCGAATATGTCCGCAGTCTGCGACATATTCGAGACACAAAATTCCTTTCATTTTAATAAATGAATAAAATCAGCGGGACGACATTGTTTTATATTATGTAGTGATTATTAATAATTATTTTTGGCAGGTCAGGGCACATTGGACACTAGACATGCGTGATAGCAGATTGAGTAGAACCGTAATCGAAAGGATGTCTCGAGAAGGAAGGCGTCAGCAGACCACCTGCCAAATGGGCGGACGATATCGTAACGATCGCAGAAAAACGTGGATACAATCCGTTCAGGACAGATAAATGACACAAAAGGGGGGAGACCTATGCCCTGATACGGGTTGAGAATGAAGATGAATTATTTTTGTTTAAAGCCTTATTTTTTTTAAAACACTGTAAAAAAATTCCACTATTTTTTAGTTTTCAATTTTTAAAACAGTGGTTTTATTAATATACAAATTTTCTAATATTCGACAAAACATTTTTTATGAAATTCATATATTAATTAATAGAACAATGTCAACTATTAACAATAATGTATATAGATTCATTTACAAGAAAACTACGTTCACAAATGTATTTTACTGTCCAATATTTACTTAATTTAAAATTAAATTTGTTTATACAGGATCGTACTTCGTGGCAGTCTGTGGGGGGAGGCCTATGTTCAGCAGTGGACTCAAACAGGCTGAAATGATGATGATGATGATACATTGATTTAAAACAGCAGCTTTAACATCTAGATTATACTGAAGTCAGATTCAATGTTAGCTGAAAAACTGACTATTGAACTACTGAAAAATATAAATGAAATGAAAATATAATTCAAATGATATAATACATGGTCATCTTTAATAGTGACAAAATTTATTAGAATTTAGTATCCTGAGTCTATTCTTTACTATTACTACTTGAGACCATCATATAGAATAACTAAAAATATTAACATAAATAAAAGAATTATGCAGGATATGACAAAGTAAACAGATGCATCTTTTGTTTTTTCAGAAATCGAGGCTTGCAACTTCCGCAG